TGTGTGTGTGTGTGTGTGTGTGTGTGTGTGTGTGTGTGTGTGTATGTATGTATGTATGTATGTATGTATGTATGTATGTATGTGAATGTATTGAGGACTTGCTATGTTGCAACAACTTCCTTCCTTCCTTCCTTTACTGATTTATTTGGTTTTTCATGACAGGGTTTCTCTGTGTAACAGTCCTGGCTGTCCTGGACAGGTCACTTTGTAGACCATGCTGGTCTTGAACTCACAGAGATCCACCTGCCTCTGCCTCCCGAGTGCTGGGATTAAAGGTGTGTGTCAACACTGCCCAGCTTTCTATTTTTTAGAAAGTTGGGTCAAACTTGTAGGTTCAAGCAATCCTCCTATCTCAGGGTACTGAATAACTGCAACTACAAACGAGTGCCACATAAGATCCTGATCAGTATCTTATTTTCTAGAAAGGAAACCATAGATCACATGAGTATCAGTTTTATGGAAAAATGAAAACGAAGTCCAGAACTCCTCCCTGGTAACCAGTGATAAATGGTTAATCATGCATACCAAACTATACATAACTGTACATGGTCACTAATAGCTAGCAGTAGTGCTAACAGGCTTGCCAAGAAACATCTGCAATGAAAAAAGAAGTATTAAACCAGAACTGTTTTGCAAAATGGTACAGGGCTTTAATCCCAGCACTAGAAGCAGAGACAGGCAGGCAGACCCCTGGAGCTAGTTCACTGGCCAGACAACCTAGCCTAGGTCCCAGTGACAGAGACTATCTCAAAAACCAAGTAGATAGTTCCTAAAGAACACCACCTGAGACTGACATCTGACATCTGGCCTTGATACACCAACGTATATACACAGCCACACATTAACTTAACACATACTAATTATATACTCATATTTTAAAATCTAAGCTAAGGTTGATAGCATACACCTGAGATCAGGAGATTGAGGCAAAAGGACAAATTGAAGGACTATCCGAGTCTACACAGAGACAGGCAGGCAGACACACAGTGTAAGCATAAAGGATGTTTATTATTTATCTGTTTCACTGCTGGGGACTGAACTCTGGGCTTCAAACATGCCAGGCAAGCACTCTGCCTCTACACTACAACTCCCAACTCCACACCTTCATATTTAAGAGCTTAAAATAAACTCAAGAACACAAGAAACACCAGATACTATGGGAGAAAAGATTTTAAAAGAACACTGAGTTACCTCATCTTTCCCTTCTGCTTTTCTATGTCTATACAACTCAAAAAGTAAGCCCTGCCTTTTTAAAATGAGCTACTCCTTTTGAAAAATGCTTAAAGTACATCTTAACAGTATTACATTGTTGACAACCTGAAAATGGGTCACCTCACAAACTGATTAAAACTCTTATGCAATCCTCCTTTGAAGGAAAGAACAGTTTGTACAAATATTTCAACTAGATCAACTTCCTCAAGGGGAGACGATATTCATTTGCAGAGTATCGAATTCTGAAAAGTGTAGAGAAAGGCAAAGTAAGGCTTATGAATGTTAATTTGGTCATTTGTCTTAACCAACTGCATACCATGTCATTAGGTAGAAGATAAGCAATATTTTAAGTTTAGTTATTTTAGGGCAGGGGATGCATGCAGCCAAGTGGTGAAGTACCTATCCAGACAAAATCTGAACCCAGCAATGGAACAGAAAAGGTCTTTTAGGATAAAGTTTAGAAAGTTGCAGTGAAATATACCCTTTGCCTAAGACAACAGGTTAAAGCTTGAGGAATAGCTACATTTATATGGCACAGGCTACATTCCCTAATTTACTCTTGGCTTCCACAAGCCCTATAGTTTCCTGTAAGCAACAATATGAGGTAACAAAAACCATACTTGGAATGCCAATTTTCTGTCTTTAAATAAGATATTTATGACATTCTAAAGTCTATTTTTGAAATGTTGCAATAGAAAGAAATAACACTGAAGTTAAGAGACATGAATAAACCAGGATCAGGATGCCAGAGCAGAAGAGCCCTATGAAGAGAGTGACACCTACTTTTGCCACTGTGGAGTGGACCTGTGGAAAGGCTTCGATCCCCAGCCGCATAGATCTAATGTACAGCACACCTGAGAGCTGTGTCAGACTCCAGACCTCACAGTTATCCTGCCACCATCCCCATCTCTACAACTTGTAGACTCTTGCAGCACTGAGGTCATTTCTCATCTTTTTATCCATAAATATCTCCTGGGTGGCTGCAGGGTTAAAAACCCACCTAAGGACCCGAAGGTAAAGAGCAGCCTACTGTCCAAATGAACACTAAGAATTCCCCAGCTTGAGAACAAGGGGGTGGGGGGATGTAGAGATGGCTCAGTGGTTAAGACCACTGACTTCTCTTCCAGAGGACCTGGGTTCAATTCCCAGCACCCACATGGCAACTCACAACTACACATAATTCCAGTTCAGGGGAGCTGACACCCATGGCAAAACACCAATGCACATAAAAGTAAATAAATTTTTTGAATGTGGTAACATAGAACTTTGTCAGAGGTAAATATAAATGTTGGATTTGTTTATAAATAAATTCTATATTAAAAAAAAGAACTGCAGGTGCTCTTTAGTATTTTTAAGACATAAAATTCTACAGGAAGTAAAGTGGTTTGAGACCAGTGCAAGGCTGCAACTTCTGACAGAACTTAGTTTTGCAATCATCCTTAATACACTACATCATATCTTAACACACTGTTTGCCCTATACAGAAATTTGGAAGCCTGGGATCAAAGCAAAACTTCAGAAAAAGTTTATGCTGGAATAGGGGTTAGTCTAAACTGCAGGAAAATAGGCATTAGTTCTGAAGAGAGCTCCCAACTATAGTCCCATGAGACCCCATGCCCTCTTTTGGTGTGCAGACATACATGCAGACAAAAGATCATATACGTAAGTAAATAAATCCTCAGTTCAGTAAAAATTTCAGGACTTAATCATCTCTCACAAAATATAAGATTTTTAATTTCCTCTTCGAGTTCAGAAATGTCTTACAGGAACCAAGTCATCACATACCTATAGACGGAGATTTGAAAGGGTATTTGTCGGGAAGATCCACTCTAACTTTCCACACTCCGCCTTCATATGGTGCTGGAACAGAAATAGAACATATTATCCATTGGGATTGTATCTTCAAATTAGAAAATAAACCTAAGTTTAAATGAACATCAAATCCCTCTCTCTCCTGAAAAAGGCCTCCAACTAATTCCTCAAAGAGTCAGGAACTAGCTGAACATAGTGACTTAGCTGCAATGCTAGCTAGCATTCAACAAGGTAAGGCAATAGGATTGCTGTGAGTTCTAGGCTAGCCTGGGTTATAAAATGACATTCTGTCTCAAGGGGGAAAAAAGTCTAGGACCAAGTACAATCAACAAGGAAGGTACTCTATGTTCAGATTAATTAATTTTTCTTTTTCTTTTCTTTTTTCTTTTTTTTTTTTTTTTTTGGTTTTTCGAGACAGGGTTTCCCTGTGGCTTTGGAGGCTGTCCTGGTACTAGCTCTTGTAGACCAGGCTGGTCTCGAACTCACAGAGATCCATCTGCCTCTGCCTCCCAAGTGTTGGGATTAAAGGCTTGCGCCACCAATGCCCGGCTTAATTCACTTTTCTTTAGGCTTCGTCTAATAGAACAAGCTTGTTCTATCAGAATTAGCCTGTTTTTAATTAGACTCCATCTTCACTTATTTGGGAGGCTGAGGCATGAGGACTCAAAGTTCAAGAGCTACCTGGACTAGAGTAACTTCAAGATAGCTTGAACAACTTAGTGAGACTCTGCCTCAAAGTAAAAAGTAATATGGAGGCTAAAGAAATGACTCAGGAATTAAGAGCACTTGTTGCTCTTGCAGAGGACCCAAATTAAATTTCCAGACCCACCGTGTGGCTCACAACAAACTGTAACTCCTATTTCAGGGGATCTGATGCCCTCTTCTGACCTCTAAGGGCACCAGACACATATATGGTGCACACACATACACATAGGCTAAAATACTCACCCACATAAAAAAAATAAGCTTTTCAAAGTAAAGAAAGGACTAGGGAATATAATTCAGTGGTAGAGCACTTCCCAAGCATGCACAAAGTCTGGGGTCAATCACTAGTACAAGAAAACAAAATCACACCACACATTCTCCTTTAAAATATCCAGAGTTAAGCAAATCACTTACTTGATTCTATTCAACACCACTCAATTATCTTTAAGAGACAGTCATGTTCCTTTTTTTCCTACTTCAACCAATTCCCCCCACTCCCCAGCAAAACACACCAGAATATACATTTTCCAGGGAACACCTACGTAGCCATCCATTACAGAACCCAGAATCTGGGAGAGAATATGTGCATGAATGACAAACATTTCTTCACTCAATGGTTCTAGTGTTAAAACTTATTTTTCAAAGCCATGCACCTGCTGATAGTCCTACTGTCTAGCAAAGATTATAAAAAGAACACATACCCACACCTGTACTTACTTCCTTGTGGTCCATAAAACTTGACAACAAATTCATTGAGTCCTCCTAGAATTGTAACCTCATGTTTGCTTTCAATGCTGAAGTAAAAAGTAAAGGAAATTACACAGGCTTCATAGCACATGGAAGAGCCATAGGTGACACCCGAGACTTGCCAGCTTGCAAGTGTTACCAAACTTGAGGCACTTTTGGTAAAATATCAAACGTATAGAACAACTCTAGTAGTTTAAGAGACAATTTATACCCCTTATGAAAAGAATATGCATGAACTTTGGATTCAAGAGAGGCTACTAATATAAATTTACTCTCTGACCATGTGTCTCTCTGCAAACTTGGAAAATATCACTTCATGGGATTTGTGTCAAATTTAAACAGGGAAAATGGGAGCAAATTTATGGCATTTGTTTTCACTCATTCTTTTGCTCCCAACAAACGCTAAACCCTTTAGATGGATGTATCTTTAGGTTTAGACTACATAATGAGACAGCACAGGAAAGGACAAAGTAACTTGGGTCAGAATACACCCCAATGACAGTGCACATGAGCAGCATGCATGAGAACCCGGGTTCAATTTCCAGCACCCTCCCTCAAAGGTAATTTTAAAAAATAGCATGTTATTAGAAAAGTACAGGGGAAGATACCCTAACAAAGAAAAGGTCCAAAGATGGCTCAGTAAGACTAAGCACACACAGTTCTTGAAGATGACCCAAGTCAATTCCCAGCACCATGGCAGGTGGCTCGAAAAGACCTCCAACTCCAACTCCAGGGGATTTGACTGGATGACTATTGGCCTCTTCAGACACTTCAGTCACATACGCATACATCTATACATACACACCTATACCCTGCTTCCATCTCAACACACAATTAAAAGAAAATGCAAAGGAAAAGATTAAAATCTCCCCTGCCCCCGACACTACAAATTGATAAAAAAGAAACAGAAAAAAGTGTTCAGTGATGCATGGACCTGTACTTTGGAGAACAGATTCTATCACCAGTTCAAAACCTAAATTTTCTTTTATTCAAGTTTTACATTAATGACATTTTTTAGTTTGCTTTCTTTTGTTTGAGACAGGGTTTGTGTATGTAACCCTGGCTCTCCCAGGACTCGTAATATAGACCAGGCTGGCCTCTGCCTCCTGAGTGCTGGATTAAAGGCGTGCACCATTACAGCCCAGTAGTTTGTTTTTTTAAGCCAGTCCCCGCTGGTGAGTGGGATCTGATTTCATTTTCTTTTATAAACTGATGGGCTGGAGAGATGGAGAAACTACTGCTCTTCAGAGGACACAGGCTGGATTCTCAGTACTCACACGGTGTTTACAATCATCTACAACTCCAGTTCCAAGGGATAGGACTTCCTCTTCTGGCCTCCTTGGGCACCACACATACACATGTAGGCAAAACATCCTTACATTAAAAAAGTTAGTCCCACATACGTGCCAACATACTTATAGAGATCTTCACCAAGCTCATAGCTGTTAATATGTGTGAACATTCAAGTACCAGAAACAATCCAAATGTTCATTACCAGTAAAAGGACCAATTGTGGCAGTCACACAGAGGATCACATCATATTTGAAAAGAGGGAGAGCAAGAGCTGGGGGGTGACAAAACATGCAATAGGGTTCAACCCCCGGCACTGCAGCCTCCTCACCTCAAAAGAAACATTCAATATTTAAATTATGACTTATACTTGTGGTCACTTGTGGTCATCAGTTCTAAAAAACTAAAGACCTGTACTGTATCAAAAGGATGCAAGAAAACAACACTCAATCTGCTTGCATCTACTTGACAAAGATTCTCTTTCCTAAATCATGTTAAAACAAGATAAGATCAATGTCCTGTCTTTAGTGCAACCCACATGCCAGATACAACAGGTCTCTAATTACATGCTGAATCATACATAGGAATCCTTAGCACAGTCAATCTAAAGCCCAACGAAGTGGAAAATGTAAAAGTACAAGTTGGTAATACTACCAATCTATGCTGTGGAAGACAAGGGAAGGCAACTCTAGAGGGCCAGTTAAAACGACAAAGCCACCACCCACTCAAACGCACTGGTTAGACAAGTCAGTGTGGAAACTCAGTACAACATTCCTTTACCATTTGGGGGTGTTGCATGTTTTTACTACATTAAAAAAAAAAATCTCGGGTGCTGATGGTGTACTCCTTTAATCCCAGCACTAGGGAGGCAGAGGCAGGAGGATCTCTGTGAGTTCGAGACCAGCCTGGTCTACACGGGCTAGTTCCAGGACAGCCTCCAAAGCCACAGAGACACCCTGTCTCGAGAAGAAAAAAAAAGAAAGAAAGAAAGAAAGAAAGAAAGAAAGAAAGAAAGAAAGAAATCTACAAATTCTCCAGATACTGATTAAAAAGAACCTATCAAATCTATAAATTATATTTTATTTATTTCTAAGTTATTCACAAAATACCAGTTCTTATCTACTTAGCGTTTCACCTTAAGGATTCTGTTCTCACAACACCGATTAGCATTGAGGAACTCAAGTCCACTTCACTCTTAAAATAACAGCCACCCACCACCTTATTTCCCTGAATGGCATTATGGTTATACAATCTGTCAAGAGATAACTGACATTCTTGGTGAAATGTGTCTATCAGGATTTTAAATGATTTTTATATAGTTCAGAAATTTTCCAAAAACGGAGACAGGGCCTTACTGAGCCTATGCCACAGGAATAACATTGACAGGTCAAGGAACTAGGTCTCAAAGACATCAGTGTGTCCTTAGCTCACAGATAATGCCTTTATCAAGGAAGTGGCCTCCAGAACTGTGTCCTGAGAAGAACCAGGGTGAAGAATGTAATTCTGTAGACACATTGAGACCAGTCTGTTTCCAACTCTCCTTGAAAAGTGACTACCCAGGAAAAGTTGCAAACACTGAGCAGCTGTCAATTCCCTGTCTATCGAGATAACCCAGGGATTCATACTACTACTCCATTTTGTTTGATTTCAAACTTTCTCTCACAGGAATAGTAACACAGTTATGAACAAAACTTTAGCTTCAATAAGCAAAATAGTTGAGCTCTTAGCCTTAGGAGTGTAGGTTTTTAAGACCCTGGCTTTCCTGGTACTCTCATTGTAGACCAGGTTGGCCTTGAACTCACAATGATCCTCCTGCCTCTGCCTACCAACTACAGGGATTTGTGTGCTGCTACTACTACCCAGCAATTCCTACACTTTCCCCCCAAAAGCAGTTTAGGAATTGAGGCTGGTGTGGTGTCACAAGCCTGTGATCAAATATTTGAAAGGTATAGGCTGGATCAAGAGTTCAAGACCAGTCTTGTAACATAGCAAGTTTGAGGCTCACCTTAGCAACAAGAGAATCTTTCTCTCAGAAAACGGGAAGGAGGGTGGGGGGCTGGATGGATGGCCAGTGGTCAAAAGCACTGGCTGCTATTCCTGAGGACCTGGGCTCAACTCCCAGCACCCATATGACAGCTCAAACTGTCTGTTACTCCAGTTCCAGGGGATCTGGAACCTTCACACAAACATACATGCAGGCAAAACACCAATTCACATAAAATAAATAAAATGGTTTTAAAAAATTGGAGGGGGAAAGGGGACAAAACTCCCCCAAATTTTATGAAATGACCTCATGGTTTCCTGAGGCACAATACTTGGTCTGGGAAAGGGAAACGATCAAGTGATCCAGATTTTAAGAAAACAAACTTCACATCAAGAAGATGGCTCTGCCAAGACAGTAAGTCAACAGCTAACACTGCAGTCAACTTTAAGTGGTTTGGGGCTGGGAACTTGTTCTGTCTACAGGAGGCCTTAGGTCTGTTTGACCCTAGCAATGGAAAGGGAAGTGGGAAGAGGGGAAGAAGGCTAAGAAAAAGTTGAAGAAAATGAAAAAAGGCTTCATAAGGATGTCTATAACTAATCTAATCTAACCACAGTGAAATATATGGCTTTATGAACCCACAACAACCAAACTCTGGACAGAATAACAACCTAGAACTAAGTTGCACAAAAGCAGGGTGCTGGCTAGAAGGAGGAGCTTGCATTAGGCACTGGGCATGACTGAGGTAGAACTGTCTTAAGTTTGAGTGTAACCAGGGCTATACAACAAGTTCCATGACAGCCTGGGATCCTGTCTCCAAAAGAAAAAAGTGTGTGTGAAGGTTTGTATTCCTCCTAGTAAGAGTGGAACCCTTATTCAAATAAAAGTAAAAACAGAACAAAGGTATTAAGAAAATAGTACTTGAGAGGCAGAGGCAGGTCAGGCCGATCTTTAAGTACCAGACTAGCTTGGTCTGCAGAATGAGTTCCAAGACAGCAAGAGATACACAAAGAAACCCTGTCACAGACAGACAGACAGACAGACAGACAGACACACACACACACACACACACACACACACAGAGAGAGAGAGAGAGAGAGAGAGAGAGAGAGAGAGAGAGAGAGAGAGAATAAGCAGGGGGTCTAGGGAGATGGCTTACTGCTCTTCCAGGGGACTGATCACCATTCTCCAGCTCTAGGGGATTTGATGCCCTTTCCTAGCCTCCATGGGCACTGCAGACAGACAGTGCAGACACAACACAGGCAAAACATCCACATATGTAAAATAAAAGGGTCCAGGTTTGGTTCCCAGAACCCATTATCAGGTGGCTTACAACTGTGAAAAAAGTCAAAAGTGAAGCCTGTAACTTTACTCACATAGACCCACCACGTATGAAAATAACAAAAAACAGCTGAACAGTGGTGGCACCGACATTTAATCCCAGCACTCCGGAGGCAGAGGCATTCGGAACTCTGAATTCAAGGCCAGCCTGGCCTACAAAGCTACACAGAGAACCCTGTCTCAAAAAACCAGAACAAACAAACAAAAAAACAACTTCTGAATAAACTGGGGGGGAGGGGATCTAGTAATAAAATCCCCAAATGTAGGGCTGGAGAGATGGCTCAGCCACTAAAGGCTCGGCTCATAACCAAAAATAAAATCCACAAATGTAAAGAACTGGGGCAAATCATTATTTGTTTCTCTGAACTGAAAGGAAACACTCAGGGCAATCAACAAATAAACAGATACATGTCATTATCTTTTAAGGTCAAGCAA